ATATATATATATGCAACAGTAGTGCAGTAGTGCCTGAGGTCATCGGAGCACTCAGGGCAGTGACCCCACACTGGAGAATTGGCTTCAACAGATACCTGGAGTACCATCTGACATCTCAGTACAGAAAAGCACAGCTAAAATACTGTAAAGAATCATCAAGACTCCAGGCCTTTCATGCTCAAATGCATGGATAACAGTTGCACTACTAAGACTCCTCTGTGAGTGTGATAAAAAAAGTCTGTGTTGTTTATGTTTTTGTGACCTTAGTAAACTTGTCATATTTAGCTTTGTGCAACATGTTGTAGTAGTGTCTAATATTAAAATAAATTGAGGCCTAATTGATGTCTGGACTAGAAGTCATCTGGCTCGTCTGTCACCAGTTACCCATTCCTGWTCTAAATGTAAAAGTTAAATATAAATGTTGTGGCTAAATGTTAAAGTTTACATTTAAGCAGTTCAAAATGGAACACAACCTTTGCTGTTGGGGCACAACTTTTGCTATGACATCATCATCTTGCAACATCAGCAACCACTACTGCTGCTAACGCTACAAACACTTACCTGTCAAATTTGATCTTAATGTCTGTTAAACTGACTGAGTTTTAGTCATTAATGTGTTTCACTAAGGTTGGCTAACTATTAGGCCCCTCTCGAATTGGGTTAGCTCCAAAAAACAATTTTTTGGAGACATACAACCAAAAAATATTTCCTGAAAGTTTCATTAAAAGGTGGCTCATGAAATATTTTGCTAAATCRCAAACACACAGACACGGGAAAGAGCATGATTATCTGTTTTCGGCCTTCGACACAAATAATCCAGTTGTAAAAAAAAAGGAAAAAACATTCCCACCTCTTTCCCCTCTCCTTCAGAGAAGCCGATCATGAGGATGCTGGAYGCACGGACCGGAGACAGGGAGGCTCAGGAGTTTGTCCGCAGGCTGAAGGAGATCGAGAAGTCGATGGAGGAGGAGTAAAATATGTCAGTATTTGCTGTATTCATGTTTCCTGACCACGTCTCGCGACATGTGCTTTTGTACTCGTACAATGCTTACAATTTTTGATTTTTTTTAAATGTACTGTTTGTTGGGTTATGATACCAAAAGAAAAAGGTCAACAGTGAATCATTTTACTGTTTTCTAACCGAGAGRTGAACATCCTGTCACTGTGCAACTCTATACTGTTTCAGTTAAACTATATTTTAGAATTTAATAGATAGCTGATGCTAAATGTTACTAGTCTATATTTTTTGTAATGAAGTAATTGTTATCTTTGTTGTATAATCTTTGATATGATAGATTTCGCATAAAAAATAATATTTTGTGGAAGTAGCTAACCTATAGCCTATAGTTCTAAGTCTTAAGTCTAAATCTACTGTATACCTCAGATGTGCTCGTTAGTCGCAGGAGAGTTTAAAAGGTGTTGAGACTTTTTGCAATCTTCACACACACTGTGGGGATAAATTGCACAATTACTTGTTTATTATACAAACCTGCAATTATTTCYCAGCAACTTTATAATAGGAATAAAAATAGACAAGATGGAAGTTCTGAAGAGAAAGCAGGACTCTGGGCAGTTTGAGACTTGTTTTTTTAGGCCAGTCAGAGAGATCATCAGCAGGGAAGCTTAACACTCCCCTGAGGCCTGCACCATCTCTTGGGTTCATTCATCTTCTCTGACTCGCCTTCACAAAGCTTGTTGTGGGTCATTGAAGARGCCAAGCACACTGCTGCTGCACCACTAAAGGAGGGCCAGTGGAAATAGCCACCCCTAAAAGTTAGTATCCTGTCCCACTAACCCCCCTTGAGCAGATAGTCGTAAAACTCATAAATTTTTTGTGTTTGAAAACCTAAATAAGTAATATAAAACATTGTCAAATACAGTGGTGGGCAGCGCTAATCCAAAAATTAGCCCAACAATTTCTAATGCGCTTATGAATATATTTAGGTCCGCAACTTGAAAAGCGCTTATGAAATAGAAAAAACTAGCGGAAGTTAATTTTAAAGCGCAAGTTCAATTCGACACTTACTAGCCGGCAACAATTCATATATAATATATGCACAACAGTACCAACTAGAGGTGTATCAACTCTTTTACAACTTAATTCTACAACCGCCGATTGCTGGGGATGTGATTTCCTGAAACAAAACTTTAGCTCCTGGTGTAAAAATTAAAAAAGTTGTTGAGGATTGCTAGTTCGGTTGCTTCTTTAAAAAGTTGATGAGGATTGCTAGTTTGGCTGCTTCTTTGTCTTTTTCTTTTGTTTGTTGTAGATTTTTCATTAAAGAAGCATCATTAAAGTAATTTTAAAACTGTTTATTGGAAAACTGAAGCGAAGCGTTGTGGGTACATTAYGGATTTGATTTGTGACGGGAAACGAAAGCACGCAGTACAGGAAACCATCTTCCCTTCAAAATAAGAGCTTGGATTTTAAAGTTTTCCATGTAGTTGCTCCAGTTGACCACAAGATGTCAGTCTTCACCAGCATAACATCTTTAAATCATTTCTGCGTCTCTAACCCCATTGCTTCAACCAATTACATCAAGTATTCAGCTCCAGCATTTAAACTTTATTTTTTTACAAAAAGGAGCTCCGGTTGTAAAGTAAAATAAATTAATGCATACAAAATTTTAGTATGGATTACAAACATTAACTGTTTTTGCTATTGCCTTCCTGCTACGTAAGCAGACACAAAGCATTTTGGGAAATGAGAACCCTGACCGAAAGCAACAGTCAGCAAAAATGTATACCTTCTCAATGTGTGTTTATCTGGAAGGGGTGCTGTTGGATAGATCATGTGTGTTGTGATTCATTGACAGCTGTACCTTCCGCTGTTCAAGATAATGATGACTGGTAGATAATTAGTCGCTGCATTTTAATTTTAGAAAGCACAAATCTGCTTATGAATTATAAAAATTAGTAAGACCGCTAAAACGCAAACAAAATATTTAGGTCCGCAATTAGCAGATTTGCGCTTTAACACGCTGGTGCCCACCACTGGTCAAATATCACCGCCCTCATTCAAGCTCCTGATTAAAAAAAATGGGTGGCTCACTAGATGGCTTTATATCCAGATGGTGAAACTTCAGAAATAATTATTTAAAACATACCAGGCTGGTAGTTTCTGATCCAAAAACATCTTTAAAACTCGCATTATCCCAACTTCATATCAGAACACATCACTCAGTCTCTACCTAAATGATAAATTCATGTCCAACTTTATTTCTCAAGTTAAAAAGAACAGAAAAGCAGAATGACCTGTGTGACGGTATAATTGTACTTTTGGGGCGAGGCTAAGCCCTCGTTGCTTTGCTGCAGCTCTCAGTGGTCTGACAGGAATTATTCAACATTTTCTGGTGCCGGTCTCTTCCCAAAGCTGCGTGAGTCGCTGAAAGGTGGGATTTCAATGTTTTTGCATAAAAGATGAGGGTCAAACTAACCTGAAATACAACCACTTAAATCTTAAAAAAGGAAAGGAGATAAGTGTTTTGTTTTATGCCATTTAAAAAGCACGCTCTGTTTGAATTACTGAACAGAATTACWGAAGCACTCGTTGTTCCCATTGATTGAAATCTCACAGTTATTGTAGCAAGTCAACAGTGTCAGTTTCCTGTAAGAACAGGACTATACTGAAGTTTTGAATTCTTAATTCTTTCGCATTTTGCTTTCAAAGAGTCAGAYTTTTTTATTTATCATTGTTAAAATGGTCTTTTAGAAAATGAGAATTCTCTGGAGGAATGGATTTTTCTTACAACCGTTAGTGTCAGCGTGTTGGACTAAAGGCGTCTGGGGCTGAGAAATGACAAACCTTAAAAACATTGTGTGCAATCTTATGCAATATGCAAGAGTAGAAGTATTTTTGAGTAACTCACAGAAACTTCCATATTAAACTTTATTTTAATATCATTTTAAAAAATTGGGTTGTCATTTCTGCCTTGGCTTTGGCAGCCATCTTAAAATGAATTAACTCTAAAGGTTAACAAGTTCTAGTTGTTATTTTTTTTCTGGAAGTTTCCATTAAAATTGAGTGATTTGTGATATTTTGGCAACTGCCAGACACACAAATACACACATAGCCAAGAACATTATCACTCAACTGTTGCCTTGCATCAGTGGGCAACAAGAAAAACAAGTCTGACTCTTTGGAAGCAAATAAATAAAGAAATGAGACGTTTTAAAACTTTTAGTTTCCGAACTATCCAAGGCAACTATAGTTTATATTTGAACCAGTAATAGCTAAAACTAAATCCTTATAATTTGGCAGGAAGTATAAAAGCTGTAAAAAAATGTCTACAGATTTTTCAAGGAGTTAAGTTCAAGTGGTTGTCCTGAGAAGTGACTCTTGTTGAACATTTAAAGAAGAATGGTTTATGTTGGGGAACATGTAGTATATAACCACCTAACTGTAGCAGGTAAAAAGAACTTAGGACCAAAATCTTCACACCGACAGCATTCTGATAGTGATGTAACTTTACTGTAGCTGCTTGTGTAGTGCTCTGTTGTTCTCCTGTGACTCTGTGAGGATAAAGCACGCTAAAAACCGTTTCTATGCCTGAACCGTGTGCCGCGTTACAGCGTTCCTTCTGACGCCTGTTGTACCGACTGACATGGGGTACGTCTGAGCAGCACTTTCCTTTCTGGTCTCTTTGTTTCTTGCAAATATTTCAGGTCGATTTTGCATTGCGCAAACCCCTCATTGTCACAACTGTTTTTATTGTACAATTTGAGTATTTAACAGTGTTTCAATGGCCTTTCACCCCCTCCCTCTCTAACTTTCATTTCTCTGGCCCAAAGTTTACACAGAAAAAAAAAACAATGCAACCTCATGTTTACCATTACCAGTGGAATATAGATAGTTACTGTGATTATTAAATCTAAATTAGGATTTGCAGTATATTTTTAACACCAACGTTATTTCAAAATCTCACTTGAGAAAAATGTCCTATTAGTGAATTATCTGTATCAATCACAGTATACTAACTGTTTCTATGTTGCTCTTGGACAACCGGTCAGTATTAGTTGAATGAAATGATTTATTCTTGTGATTTTTTTTCAAACTCTTGAACATATTTGTAGTTTTGATGGAGGATTTAAAAAAAATGTTGCGAAGCCTGACGACAATTAAAAAGAAATAAAAAGGTCAAAGATTCTGATAAGTGTGAAGGAAATTAAAACCTCATCACTCCTTCTTTATAAATGTCAGTGCTGATGTGAATTACTTTAAGCATGCATGATAAGAAACTACTGTTTATTTTTTTTTTTGGGGGGGGGGGGACCAGCATCTTTAACTGAATTATTGGTTCGATGTTCAGATTTAAAGGCGAGAAGAGATGAATCTGCAGGAGGCTAAAAGCCTTCACTTTGCTATTGTAAAAGTGATTTATCTGTCCTGTGTTGCTGTTTATTAGATTATAACTTTGGGAAACGTCCATGACCACAATAAAGATTGTATTTAAATCTCAGCTTTGTACACGCTATTTTTATTTAAACTGTTTACAGATCCACATGTGTTGTAAATTAGTAAGTGCTGTTATTGGGTGTGGGGGGAAAAAAGAAAAATCAACATGCTGACTTTGACCTTTTTGTTCATTCATCCTCACCGTCAATCTCTCACCTTCTCCTCACCACACTCCCACTCTTCAGTTCTGTGTCTCTGGCAATCCTTGACCTTTTAATATTTTACCTCCCATCTGYAGCGCGGCCACAGCCGAGGATCAAACCGGTCCAGTGGCACAACGGCAACCGTGCCGAAAAGCCACATTCAAACAGGAGGAAACAGCAGTGTCCATTATGTCCACTGTGTGAGAATCCAGAGCCGGGGGATGGTTGGGGGACTTGCAGTGTGACACAATCGCTTTACTGTCCACTCCTGTCGAAACGCTGCTGAGAAAGTAGATCAGACAAGGATTTCTCATAGCTGGAGGATACGAATGCCTGTGCTCCGCTGAGTGACAGTCGATAAATTTTAAATTAGCAACCTGCTGATRGCAGAGGAGCTTATAGATGCCATGTTGGCTCAGGTGTGGAGAGGTCCTTGTCATCTAATGCAGACATCATGCCCTCGGGTCGGGCCATCGACTRGAGCACGTGACAGCTTGAAGCCACTTAAAGATCTGCTGCTGGTTAACCTTTGTTCTGTTCTGAACTTACAACCTTCTCATTGTGTTTGTTTGACAATCTCGATGAATTCATTTTCATTAGGAGTTCCTATTCACACCACTAGATGTCCTCGTGATTTCACAAATCCTTGATGCGCTCCTATCAAAATGTAGGAATTTAAGAGTTTGTTTACTGATGTCCTCTTGAGGCTCACCTTCTCCAGGAGAGGAAGGTGTTTGATTGCAGAGAGCCATCAGATAATCAAACCTTGATTCCATGAATGAGACACTTGGCGGTCTGAGACAAATACTCCCATTCACCTACTGCATCCGATAAAACACGAGTTGAGCAACATGTTTTTTATTGTTGTTTGGTTGTTTTTAATAAAAATCCAAAACTCCTATTTTGCAGAAAAATAAAACATAATTTGATTCTCATGGAACTAGAGACAGATTGATGTAAAAAATAACTCAGTCTAATTGTTTTTATAATATAAAATCATCTAAACCAAGGGTTCTCACATGTTTTGAGTCTAAAACCCCTTACAAGGATGAAACATTTCCACCCCCCTCACAAACCTTATTTTCATGAATGATCGAATCATTTCAAAATCATTTACTGCCGTTTTAACCCCTAAATGTTATGGGACTAATCATAATCTTTTGTTTGGTTTAGTATGTTTGGTTTACTTGTATATTGTTCCAAAATTTACGCATTTTTAAAATAAAAAACAAAATCAACAGCTTATTGTAATTTTTTTGAGGACCCCCAAGCCACACCTTGCGGAACCCTGGGGTTCCTGGGACCCCAGTTTCAGAACCTCTGATCTAAAACATTGGTCAGCGACAGATCTTGAGATGATTTCCAGAAATAATAAATAAATAAAATTAGAGTTGATTACTAACACAATATTTTGATAATAAAATGTAGAAAACAGGAATGATAAATGGGTGAAAGTGTAACAATTGAAGCATTTGCACTGTCATTATAACTATTTGTTTATTTATAGGATTTATTCTTCCAAGGGTCCAACAAAAACATTAAAGAAAATCTTTAT